AGCCCGCCTTGACACCCAGATGTCGTCGAGATGTAAGAATTGAAAGCTTTATGAAGATGTTCGGCTTTAACTTCTATGACCCTAGAATGTGTTATAAAAACTTTATTAATTCACCTTTAATATCAACAAAACCATTTGCATTTTAAACACACTTATTCATGATAACAGACTGTAATAACTTTGGTGATTCTCTGATTTTTCCTAAATTAGGAAAAGCACTGCATTTATCACGGATAACTGGAAAACTGCACTTTAATTTACAGTGTAAGTCTTCATTTGCTTCACGAGCTGCTTCTTTTGTTCATGGCAGATTATTTGGTGAAACACGTGTGTCATGACTGCCTGCTGTGAGTATATCTTTTCTTAAGCAGGTCACTTAGTTTTATGTGTTTCAAACTATTAAGAGTTGTTTTGTATTAAAAGTCTGCTTTTGTTTTGGTTCTTTTCTCTACAGAAGTATTTGGACCAGATGGAAAGCAGCACCCTGGACACTATTTATTTATTTATTTTTACTCAGGACACTATTTGAAATCAGTGTGAATCTGCATGTCGTTAATCATTTGAAGCAGGAGACATGTAATGAAAGTACAGGAAAGACTCCTCCAAACAGCTCAAATCAACAACTAACCTCAGATGTCTTTAGCCACATCATTCTAATGAATCTCATTTAGTAAAAATAAAAACACACACACAAAAAACTGTTTTATTTGCCTTAGTCACCAATGTCAAATAAAATAAAATGTTCTTTTGTGCCCTTCCATTTTTATGGAAGTTATTCCTGTTTAACTTGTTTAATTAATTTAAGAAAGTGAAACTAATGCATAACAAAAAGGCATTCATATTTAATTATTATCATGAGAGATATGGGAGTTGCCAGCCCTGCCCTAGTTGTGTATGTTCATGAACAAAAAGGTCACAGAGAACGAGCCCCTTCCGGCATCTCTGCATGCCTTCACTTTCACTTGCATTGTTCTTTTTCTTTCTTTCTTCCAAATGTTTTGTGAAATTTTGTGGTCTTGAAAACTGCTTTCCTCCTCAGCTTTGGGCAGCGAGAGCCAGTGTAGCATGCAAAGATGTTCTTTAAGCAAAAAGGCTATGTGAATGGCTGGGAACTAAAGTTAGGCCTGAACTTAAACACATGCAATCAGCCAATCAGCTGTATGGTATAAAAGAAGTGCTGTAGCCAAAGGAGTGCACGAGTAGGTTCATGACAGTACTGTCAGTCTGTCCACCCTTTGTTAAAGACTGAAGTACAACGATGTCTGAAGAGAGGAAGATGCTCACATTTGTGTGGTGTGTCTGC